TGGGTGTGTAGGAGAACCTTGTAAGTCGAGACATTTTGGTTTGGGTGTGTAGTTGTACCTAGTAAGTCCAGACATTTTGGTTTGTGTCCACGAGTATATTAGGCGTAACATACACTTTTGCATAACTTCAGTAGAATACAGTAATGTTGAGGTATTCTAAATGCTGATTCCTTAATTCATTCTGTATGTTTTAGACATAAAGAAGGTTGTAACTGGACGTAAACTATGACTTCATTAATGTTCTATTAATCGGCTTTAACTAGTGTCTTAAGCCGAGTAGAATAGATGTCAATAACAGACAGTTCTTGTACCTTTGATGAAGGATTAGCAGGAAAATGATGCTGTTATCCAAGAAAAATTTCCATATAAGTTAGGATAAAATGCCTTTATAGGTCATAATACTTAGACCCATTAAAGCGCTAAAATGGTGTCATTCCATGTTATCCTTATTGACAAGTCTGTCCAAAAACAGAGATTGCATACAATGAATGCCACACATATGTTTAAGACAATCACTTGGGTAGCTCTAGAACAGGCTCTCATCTCTTTTAAATCAGCAATTAACAGTCAATTCATGTGAATTCAGGACATTATTGCAAATGAAGATTGCTGTATAGTGGAACCCACTTAATGTCATGTCTGTTTATGTCACTTTCCATTTAATATCACAATTTCTTGAAACACCAAATTTTCCCTATATATTCTATGTAACCCATTATGTCACTTTCATGTATAACATAACATCATTTTAGATTTTAAACAATCTCTTTAAGAAACAAGTCAGTTTGGAGAATCAGTTTTAGACGTCGAAAAAAAAGTGTCAACTGTTAATGTCACATTCCATTTATTATCACATTTTCCCCCAGACAAATGGAACATGATAATAAGGGGGTTTCAGCATATATAAAAAATGTATCTCACTGAACACTCTCAATTTTCACAGTCACTTAACCTTGTTATTCAGTAATATTGTTGTTATCTAATATAAAACCTTCAATCAGATGCAGACCTACAAGTTTTCATTAATGCTTAATTTCAGGGTTTGTGGACACTTAAGCTGTCCATGTGATGTTTCAAGAGTGTATGCTGACAGAAAATGAAATCCTGTATTACAATATGACTGGTCAGCCAATGAAAACATTAAACAGGCACTATGCAAACATCTGTCAGAATGAAGTGATGAAGTCAGTTGGAAAAGGAAAGATCCAATAATTACCTCATCACTAGGGCATTGCTTTGTCTTTTACTGAAATGACAGTTCTGGCATTGTTTCCAACAAAACCATGATAATTGGTTGAGAGATAAGGAGTGTTTGTGACAGCAGTGTCCAAAGGGTTTCGGATCATAGCTTGACTTTCTCATATACTTGCCATGGTTTTACTTGTTTGTTATCAAAAGAAAGGGAACAAAATGCATGCAGTTTTGGTTATTGAAGATTTATCTCACTGTTATTTTACTCTTAATAATTTTCACTAATGTAATTACAACCCTATATATTGCTTTAGTGATTTTGTTGTCATTTGCAATTTCATAATAATAACAATAATTTCGTATTTAAGTGTCTTGAGTGTTTTATTTGAAAATTTAAACATTTGGATTGAAATTGTATTCAAAGTTTAGTAAATAATATAAAAAAATATAATGTAAAAATAATAAGTTTGCTTGTCACATGAACATCGTTGGATAAAGTAATAATTTGTTAATCCATAAATGGAACCCTCATGGCTTTGTATTCTGGATGCTATTTATAGTGTATTAACAGCTTGATGCTGACAAACATGGCCATATTTGTACTTAGTTAATTTCAACAGGCTGGCAGTGATTTGGTCTGATGAACGAGAGGATGGTGTCGGTAATTGTCTGAGAGACAATATTTTCCCTCCTGATAGGACACTGTTGTCAAACAACATAGAATTCTGAAAACAAAAAACCTTAATGTGTTCTGTATAGTAGCACATACAGATGGCAAACTGGAAACTGTCGCTTGAAGAGCTTTTGTAGCGGATTCAATTACTGAACGAAACTGCCTAACCTTCCAAGTGGATAAGGGAGTGATGTGGAATGGAGGCTAGGTGATAGCAGGCTCTCGTTGTGATTGACTTACGTGGTTATTTGTGCCATCAGATGCTTATGTAAAGAGGTGGATGAAGGGTATTTTAGACTCTGCTGATCACACTGGTCTCTTCAGATAAACCTTGTTGCTCCAACATAAATAAATTATACACACTGTTCACATGCATGAAACGGCCTAAAACTAACTTTTCAAAAAGTGACGCCTCTTTAATATTTCAGTTAGTTGTGTCTCCGTTGAAGCGAAGTAATTGAAAATGGCTTTTTTCTTACTGCCTTGATGGCCTGTTCAGTGACACTGGTAAAGTTACATACATAACCAGATTGTAGTCTCTTCCTCTTGAATGAGCTTACGGATGTCCTCCAGGATACTTAGATTTATTTGAGTGTCAGACGCAGTGCCCGAGTGTATTTGTAAGATTTGTCATTGGGAAATAGTTCCAGGTGGTCCCCAAACAATTATTGCTTGGAAGATGAATGTTGACAGTATGATAAATTAGTTTTCATTGGTATAATTATGATTATCTGCATGTGATAGTTTGGGTTCTGGAGTTATATTATATTCCAAATTGCCCAATGCTGTCTCCTCTACTCATAGCCTCCCCCACGTATCGGCTTGTTTCATGCAAAGGGAAGGTCTCTGACCATATATAGGAAAGACATAACAGATACGGCTGGAGGCACTGTCATGATAAACATTTTTTAGCCTTAAATTTTTAAGTCTGGAAGAAAAAAAGAAAAATAAGTGAAAATAGGTTTGTGTTCTGTTCGTTTGTCCACCTGTCTGAACCTGTCAGTCTGTGCCCTTAAACCTCCTTTTGAAAATTTTATACTTTAAAACAGGATCTTTTTAATTGCTCATTCTACTGGCTCAATTGTTATTTTGAAATCTTGAATGTATAAGATTTACTGAAAAATTGGGTTCAAATATACTGAAATGCCCCTGTCTGTCTGGGTCGTCTGCACATATTATCAAGAGAATTCCTCCTAAACTGGTTAACTCATTCCAAGGAAATTTCATATCAATGTAAAGGACATTCGAAGGACAATATGTAGATGTGCATGCAACTTTTTCTCCAAAACTTTTGGTTGTCATGGTACCTGGAAATTGTAAACAGGTTTTACTATAGCTGGCCATCATGATAGACATTAATAGGTAAGCTTGGTATTTGAACCAGCTAACATAGGAGGTATTAACCGAAATAGAGATTCTAACTCCTCACAAGGGTATTGAGTCACGCCTTTGATTGGTTATTGTGGCGGAGATAGCAAAGTAGAATTAACGTCAAATAAATTCAGGATCCTGTTGTAAATTTTGGTAGTCCCCGACATACATACCCCTCTGGGAGCCATGTGCTAGAACTTTGTGCACTGAGCTATATTAAAGCAGGTTTCTTTATTACGCAGTAAAAGACCAAGAGATACCCACATGTACATATAACTGGTATAAGTGAATAATCAGTAGAAGACCAAGTACCTTTACAAACGTTATTGAAGCTTATTAGAGGCCAATCTAGTGAATGCAAAGTAGATACCATTTTCTCTAAGGTGGTTGTTTTTTACAAGGTCATCATAAATTAATTTGGTATGAACTGCTATTAGAGGACGCAGATGTAGATATTTTACACAAGGAAGGTGGTTTCTTATCACAGGGTGATCTCTAGTGCATGTGACCTCACATAAAAGGGCCTTCTATGAACAGGCTTGACTTGATTTTGCCATGTAGTAAAATGATAAACTCAGCTTAATTGATCAATGGCAATACAAAAAGAGACTTCATAATATTGTCAGTTAGAAATAAGTAGTGGAGATTCAGTATATAATGAATTGTTATATAAACAGTAGTTGATGGTAGATACTCTATACCTTACATGCTATAATATGATGTAATAATGATGTCAGATTGGCTCGCTGTCCTGCTCCAAACATCAACCTCTATATAAAGACCATCTGTATTTAGGAGACCACAAACCAAGCCCTTCTCCCCCTTTACAGTTATTTTTTAGTAAAACTGAATCAGTATTCTGGAAGTAGCCTATTTACCATTGTGGTCGCAGAATTCAGATGTAACCATTTCCATCTGTCAGGTTTTGAAATTTTGGTCTAGTTATAGCATGTTAAAAATGGCCTGGATGAATGCGATTTGTGAATGTATGCTGAAAGCAATGAGGTTGATGGTTTTATCAAACTGAAGGGCATAAATATTTCAAATTGCCTCATTCCTTTATACCTTCTTGGGTTCATTTAGGATGTACCACTTCCATAAAAAAGTAAAATTATATAGAAATTTTCTATCTATATAATATGTATTCATACAAATCTGTACTTTTAATATTTTTATCTCACATGGCCCAAGGTGCTTGTGCTGTGGTGGGTTCTGTGTCCATCTGGTGTCAACTTTTTCATTTAAATGGCTGTGTTGAAGCCTGGCAAAATTCTAAAGGAAGTGACCTTGGCCTATATTCAAGGTAGTAGGTGTGAAATTTGTTAAGACCTGTAACCAACTAGCTAAAAGATGCAGAAACATGGTATTTGGCTGAGAGATTCCTAGGATGACACCTGACAAAGTTTAAAAAATGAAATTATCTTAACCCATATTCGAGGTCACAGGGGTTGAATTTGTTACAACATTTAAAAAACTAGTACTGACTAACCAAAAGTGGCAGAAGCATTGCCTATGGCTGATAGGTTCCTAAGATGAAGTTTGATAAAAGAAATGACGTTGACCTTTATTCAAGGTCACTGGGGTCAAATTTGTCAAAACATATGCCAATGGTGTACATGTGAGTGCATTTTTGATAAATACTGATTCTATTTTTGATGAACATTGAATATCAGTTGAGCTATGCAGGCCCATTGGGCCTCTTGTTATCCTTGTATAGTATTTTACATGACAATGGAGTAACCTCTTGTTTTCTGTATCTTTTCAGCATGTGATATGAACGTCCATAAAAGATGTGAAAAGAATGTGCCAAAACTGTGCGGTATGGACCACACGGAGAGAAGAGGTCGCATCTGCATCAAAGTCCACATGGATGGCCAGAAAATGGTCGCGTTGGGTATGTTGGCAATATTATCTAATAATTGAATTTAACCCATTGTCAAACTGTGAAATTTTTCTAGGTGAAATGACTATTATCAAACAGTTCTTTTGTTGTTTTATAACTGCATGTTTAATTACCCTGGGTTACATTAACTGGTCTGTTGCAAAACACTTATTCCCCAATGATATGTATTCCTGCATTGGTTTGTGGTTCAATCTTAAACAATGAAATATTTCTTATTGTGTACCTGTAGTCCATTGTCATACAGTCAGATATTCCTTGGTGTGTACCTATAGTCCATTGTCATACAGTCAGGTCTTCCTTGGTGTGTACCTGTAGTCCATTGTCATACAGTCAGGTATTCCTTGGTGTGTACCTATAGTCCATTGTCATACAGTCAGGTATTCCTTGGTGTGTACCTGTAGTCAATTGTCATACAGTCAGGTATTCCTTGGTGTGTACCTATAGTCCATTTTCATACAGTCAGGTATTCCTTGGTGTGTACCTGTAGTCCATTGTCATACAGTCAGGTATTCCTTGGTGTGTACCTATAGTCCATTGTCATACAGTCAGGTATTCCTTAGTGTGTACCTATAGTCCATTGTCATACAGTCAGGTATTCCTTGGTGTGTACCTGTAGTCCATTGTCATACAGTCAGGTATTCCTTGGTGTGTACCTGTAGTCCATTGTCATACAGTCAGGTATTCCTTGGTGTGTACCTGTAGTCCATTGTCATACAGTAAGGTATTCCTTGGTGTTAATTGGGGATTCAGATTACTTTGTTGTCCGTTGTTCTATTCGATTACAAATTTTTGTCTTTCACAGATTTTACTCAAATTTTGTCAAATTTTTGGACAACTTTTCTGTTTCTTTCGTTAACTGTTTGCTTGTGAGTGATTATTGCATGATGTCATTTATTTATCAATATTAATAAAATCAATAAATATTCAGTTTGAAATGACATCAAAATGGTATATGTAGAGTAAGAATTACTTCTTGGTAAATTTGAGAATTAGTTTAAATGATCTTACTATGGCATCATGTAAGTCCTAGAGGTATTATTGCAAGGGTTTCCATCTCTACTTCACATGATCATGAAATAATTTCAAGCAACTAATATAGACAGCTATACACAATTAAGGTAGCTAGTCTGTTCTGCTCTGAACCATTTTTTTATACAATCTTATTAAGGATTGTCAGATGCTATGGAAGATTATCAATTAATTCTCCTGCTGTATTCATAATCTCATTCTTTAGGCAATATGACCCTTATTTTGTCTGGTTTGGGATTTTCGTAATTAAGTGACCACTTGGTGTCATTTTACTTTCGTCTGGTTATGGCATTTCAGTGTGATTGCACTTTAGATTGTCCTTACCTTTGAATAATATTGAAGGAACATGATGAAACTAACTTTGGAATAACAGGACACTTGAAAATGCAAATGTTAAAAATGGCATAGTGCGAGTGATACAATACAATACTAAATTATCTGAAGGTGTGTACAAACCATGTGAGGCTGTAAGTACACCTCATTGGCACATATCAAACCAAGAATTCATTGATCTTTGTACATATGTACTTTAGCATAGCTGTCGTTCCATTTTTCTCTGATACTTAATATTGTATAACATATCTAGGGACTGTTTACCTGTTACTCTCAGAGTTACATGATCCTATATGTAACCTAGATAATTGTACATTACATATATGGTGATAACTATCATAAATTACAGAGGCATTTATTGACATCATATAGTTTTATTGGAGATGTGTGTTACTCCTAATCACGGTTTTGTATGAGGTAGATTTGACAGTCGCTTGAAACCCTCCACAAATCCATGTTCAATGGCATGTTATTACTCTATTAGAATACCATCACCATGATAGCTTACAAGGGCAACACTCTATGTTGATTGTATGTATAGGAAGATAGAGTTATCATTGGTCGACAGGCAGGCAAGAAAAAAGTGCTAGGACATATTGCTGTTTTCAAAATCAATAAAGAGTAGTATTGATGAGGAAGCAGTGCAAAAGAGCTAGCAAATTGCCCTTTGGAAGTGAAATGGAGATATGGTTTCTGTTGAAAGTAGAGATGATCTGAATGTATCATTCATAAATCACTATTCATAATTGTGAAAAGGTTTTTTTCACGTTTGGACTTAACAAATTGGAGTAAATGCTTATGAATAAGACTTGCAGATGGAGTCTATTCTTAGAGATTGTATATGATGGATATATTGATTATTCTAGAGATTGTATATGGTGGATATATTGATTATTCTAGAGATTTTATATGGTGGATATATTGATTATTCTAGAGGTTTTATATGGTGGATATATTGATTATTCTAGAGATTTTATATGGTGGATATATTGATTATATATTGTATATGGTGGATATATTGATTATTCTAGAGTTTTTATATGGTGGATATATTGATTATTCTAGAGATTTTATATGGTGGATATATTGATTATTCTAGAGATTGTATATGGTGGATATATTGATTATTCTAGAGATTGTATATGATGGATATATTGATTATTCTAGAGATTTTATATGGTGGATATATTGATTATTCTAGAGATTTTATATGGTGGATATATTGATTATTCTAGAGATTGTATATGGTGGAGATATTGATTATTCTAGAGATTTTATATGGTGGATATATTGATTATTGTAGAGATTTTATATGGTGGATATATTGATTATTCTAGAGGTTTTATATGGTGGATATATTGATTATTGTAGAGATTTTATATGGTGGATGTATTGATTATTCTAGAGGTTTTATATGGTGGATGTATTGATTATTCTAGAGGTTTTATATGGTGGATATATTGATTATTCTAGAGATTTTATATGGTGGATATATTGATTATTCTATAGATTGTATATGGTGGATATATTGATTATTCTAGAGATTTTATATGGTGGATATATTGATTATTCTAGAGATTTTATATGGTGGATATATTGATTATTCTAGAGATTGTATATGGTGGAGATATTGATTATTCTAGAGATTGTATATGGTGGATATATTGATTATTCTAGAGATTTTATATGGTGGATATATTGGTTATTCTAGAGATTTTATATGGTGGATATATTGATTATTCTAGAGATTGTATATGGTGGATATATTGATTATTCTAGAGATTGTATATGGTGGATATATTGATTATTCTAGAGGTTTTATATGGTGGATATATTGATTATTCTAGAGGTTTTATATGGTGGATATATTGATTATTCTAGAGATTGTATATGGTGGATATATTGATTATTCTAGAGATTGTATAGATATATTATTATGAGATTGCATATGATATATATTGATTATTCTAGAGATTTTATATGGTGGATATATTGGTTATTCTAGAGATTTTATATGGTGGATATATTGATTATTCTAGAGATTGTATATGGTGGATATATTGATTATTCTAGAGATTGTATATGGTGGATATATTGATTATTCTAGAGATTTTATATGGTGGATATATTGATTATTCTAGAGGTTTTATATGGTGGATATATTGATTATTCTAGAGATTGTATATGGTGGATATATTGATTATTCTAGAGATTGTATATGGTGGATATATTGATTATTCTAGAGATTGCATATGATGGATATATTGATTATTCTAGAGATTTTATATGGTGGATATATTGATTATTCTAGAGGTTTTATATGGTGGATATATTGATTATTCTAGAGATTGTATATGGTGGATATATTGATTATTCTAGAGATTGTATATGGTGGATATATTGATTATTCTAGAGATTGCATATGATGGATATATTGATTATTCTAGAGATTTTATATGGTGGATATATTGATTATTCTAGAGATTTTATATGGTGGATATATTGATTATTCTAGAGATTGTATATGGTGGAGATATTGATTATTCTAGAGATTTTATATGGTGGATATATTGATTATTGTAGAGATTTTATATGGTGGATGTATTGATTATTCTAGAGGTTTTATATGGTGGATGTATTGATTATTCTAGAGGTTTTATATGGTGGATATATTGATTATTCTAGAGGTTTTATATGGTGGATATATTGATTATTCTAGAGGTTTTATATGGTGGAGATATTGATTATTCTAGAGATTTTATATGGTGGATATATTGATTATATATTATTTATCCAATCAATAACCAAGTTTTTTTTGAATTTGTACGTTAATAATTCAGTAGGTAAACCAATGTCAGCTTAATACTTACCAGTATTAGGTTTTGGTCAAACTACATTTTCCCTGTAACACGAGACTTATAAACAAAAATTGCTGGAGAAATTTCTTTAGAAGAGACTTATTTTAGCTGTACACTGAAACACGGAAGTTTTGACTAATCACGGACATAAAAGGCTTGTCAAATCTGTCTTTGAACTGGTGTTTGGTGACAGATATCATTTAATCTTTTGTGTACTGCTGCCAAATTTGCCAAATTTTGCATGCAACTTTTTCAGAATATCATAAAATTGGCAATATTTGAATCTTTGACTTGTCATATTCAGAGTTATTGCCCTTTGTTCCATCTGTGACACTGAGGTTTTACTGAACTGTAAAGATAGAAAATGTCTTCATCATTGCTTTGTCCACTTATTTTGTGAGTATTTCTTTGTACAGACATGTTGTGACCACAAACTTATTGAAGGCAATCTTATCAAGGGTAAAATGGTGTCAAGGACACTAGGTATAAGTTTATGCAAAATGTTTTTATCCATGCCCATGTTGTTTGTTAACACTCAAAATCATTAAGGGCATAAATGGAAAGAATTACGGTAATCATACACACTTCTGTGAATGTGAACAGGAAACAAGTACTGACAATTTAGAACCCCCCTCCCTCCTCAACCACCCACCACCCACCCACCTTGCAGAAAAATTGTGATTTTAGCATGAACAATTACTAGTTCGTAGTTCTTCTGGAACATGCTTTAAAATGCTTTTTAATGTGATACAGTCACAAGTATCCTTGAAG